TGTAGTTCAAATACAGATGACAGAAATATCTTTTTTTCAAATACAAAAATAAACACAATTCTCTCAAAACTAAGTTACAGTAAGAAACACATTGTTTTATTTTGGAAGGTCTGTTTTGTGATACAAACCTTTCTTCAGTAACAATTCATATCTGTTAAAAATTCACGAGACATGGGATCAATCATGAAAATATCAGTTTCAAAGAAACGTTACTGAAATGCTGATTAAATGTTAGAACTTTCCACAAGCACACAAGCAACGGCAGCTCTTTAAAAATCAGTGCTTTTGAAATGTAAAAGAAATCACAAGCAATTACCATAAATATATTAATAAAATCTTTAAGCTGATTTTTGTATATATTTTAATAAAATTCTAATGAATGTCTTTAAGAAACCATTCTTCCCTGAAGGCTACTTTCTTAGAAGTAAACATTGTTTTACTTTGTCCACAGATGTCTTTACTGGTCTATGCGCTACAGAAAATGGCAAATAAGCAGAATAACAGGAATTCTCCTTCAAAAATAAATATCTCACTTTTATATTTGCTCCCTTCCAAATTCTATCAAAATCTCTATCATTTCTTAATTGTTAATTCAATAAGTTTTTATTTAGTTCTCCCCCCCCCCCACAAATGGTTATCAAAATAGACTCCCCTTAAGAAAAGAAAACATGGTATCTTTATTCAGGATATGGACCACACTAAAAAACAAAGACTATCTGAGAACTTATCAAGTGAGTAAAATACTATGGTCAGGCCATTTGTACATAATAAACAAAATACATAGATGACCAACTCTGGGAAGAAACTTGAGTTGTTATTTAAGATAAAAATACAGTTGCAACATATCCTAAGTCAAAGCTGTGATAATACAGCCAGCGTTAAAAGACTACTTGTTCTAGCTTTCCTGGATACAAATGAATGCCACTCTTGTGTAAATACGTGCAATTTTAAGAACAAGAAGGAAATCCATGAGAGAAAGGGCAGCAGACTACAGAATCTGCCCATATAAATCAGTATTGGCAACAAAACTTCTGAAATTGTCAGGGATTGACTGTGTCCTGGGGAAAGTCAACATTCACCTACTGCATTTATCTCAAAAAAAAAGCACTTATTTACTGTCTACTTGATACGATCTCTTACACAATTTTAAGTCCTATACCTCATTAAAATATAGCGTAATTCTCTTGTTCCTAATTTTTAAAATTCTCTTGAATATGCACTTGAATTTAAACAATGAAACACTATAAATGTATTTGTAATGCTAAGCCTATTTTAAGAAACCTAAAGTAAGCCAATACTGTATTTACGGGAGGCTTTAAAAGACTTGAGTAAAAGTAACAAAACAACTTCTTAGACACATTTCTAAGAGGAAACTTGAAAGATACTGGTATCATCAGATCTCTCCCAAAAGGTCCTGAACATGTATATTTAAATTTCAAACGTTTAAATTGTAGACTATTTTGGTATTTGACAATTAAATGAAACAGTAGTATATTAATACAATTTATTGATCCATACTTTGAGTGAAGTACCTAATATCTAAGGTTTCTCTGAAAACCAGGAGATTGATTTACAGCTAGATTCTAAATATGGGGTACAAGGACTTCAAGCAGTGTATTTATTTGCCTCTGTGCATCTTTAAAGAGAAGTTATTCCATATATTTCACAATGTTTCAGAAGGGTCTATGCCTCTTTCAATAAAGGGTACGAGTTCTGTAATGAAGAGTGTTCAACAGGTTCCACTTGATTAATCAAAACAGGGCATTAATATCATGGTAGCCAATATTCTGTGTTTACAGGCAAACTGGCATATATTAAGAATCACTTTCCACAACAAAACAAAACAAACGATCCTAACTCTAGCACTTGAAGAAAATATTAAGAAAGCCTAAACTGGGAAGGCAAAAATATGCTCAACAGCGAACACCAACGAAAGTTTAAACGCTACATTCTTGATTAGCACATTTTGCGGTAGTCAGATTTACTTGCGATGTGATTCATCTCCTCTGTATTTTATCAAACATTTTTGTACCAGTTGCCAAAGCATGTAATTAAACAGATTTATGCAGTCTGAATGCTTTTAAAGTTCTATTCCCTGAGAATTCCAGTGCCATCTGACAACTCCATGTTCAAGAGGTAAACTACAAGTACAAAGTTAGCTAGTTTTAATAGCTCCCCAAACAGAAATAAAATTAAAGCCCATTTAGTGTAGTTAGGTAAATTAAACTCGTCTAAAACACATTTGAAAGGAAAATGATTCCGTGCCAGTTGTACAGATGTCAAAACTAAAGCAAAATAAAATATCCTGTGAAATGTGAGAATTCTTTCAAATAAAAACAGAACAAACAATATGGCATGATTATCTGTTTTGGATTTCTGATCTCTGATGCTGACACCATTCGCGGGCAGCTGAAGCCCTAACTGTAAAGTCAACACGGTTACCAAATAATCAGCGGTCACAGCACTTCCATTTCTAATCACTTAGAGGAGGAAGCTATCCGTCGGCTCACTTTCCGGTTTGTATCTTACAACGGTCGCGGGACCCACAGGGACGAGGCACGAGTGGCTCTGCTCGAGCGTCCAGTCCGCACGGATCTCCCCCGGGACGCGGGCGGCAGGGGGAGCACTCACCGGCAGTCCTTGAGCCATATCGCGATCTTCTCGTTGGGCACGTTTCCTGGAGGGGTAGAGCGAGGGGACAGCACGTTACGGACCAGGAGCCCTCCGACGGCGGGGTCACCCTGGACCCTCCCAAATAGGAAAATCTACCACGGCAAATGCAGCCTAAGCGACACGTCTCAGTGTCCCTTGGCAGAGAAATGGGATGGCACCCAGTGGTCTCTGTTGACGCTGGGAACGCCTCGTCCAGCGCGCGCGTTTCAAGGTCGGAAGTGTCCCCTCTCCCCTCGGCCTACAGTGCCTGAGGCTCTCCCAGAACGTACGGCAGGAGCCAGGGCGCACGAGGCTCTCCCCAGCCCGCCAGCCTCCCACCGCAGCCCGGCGGGGCGCACCGACCTCTTCCCGCCGGGGCCGGCAGCTGCGCGCCGGGGAGGTCCTCCTCCTCGTCCTCGTCCTCGTCCTGCGTCGTCGCTTCTGTGGACAGATCCTCCGTCTCCGACGCTTGCCAGGAGCTGCGGCACTTGGCCCAGGCCTTCCTCCTGCGACTCGCCACTTGCCACTCCAGTTCCTCCTCCGCCTCCGCCGACCCGGTCAGGGGCCGGTCCATGGCCGCACGGGGGGCTCCGCTACCCCAGCCGGACCCTGCGCGAGACACGGCGGCGGCGGGGACCCCCGCCCTTGCTGTCAGCGCCCGGCCGGGCAGGGGGCCCCGGGGAGCAGGAGCGGGCGCTCGAGGAGGAGGAGGAGGAGGAGGGGACAGGGAGGGAGGGAGGGAAGGAAGGGGAGGGAAGGGGCGGAGGGCCGGCGCTTCACATGAAGCCGGCGGGGCGCGGCGCGGGAGCGCGAGTGGCCCGAGGGAGCGCGGCTGGGAGCCGAGCGCCGGCAAGCTCCCTGCTCCCCACCCCCAGCCTGACGCTCCCCGAGCTGGCCGGCAGCTGCGCGTCTGCGCGCCTTCCCTCGGCGGCGGCCCACGCCCCCTTCCGGCCGGGGGCGCGCGGGGCGCGGCGGGGCGGGGCGCGCCCAGCGCCGAGCCGAGCGGGCCAGCCCACTCTTGCTGCCCGCGGAATGGGAGAGATTTGTTTGTTAATAATCTTTCCTTCTCTCAACTCCTCCTCCCTCACCCCAAAATAGAAAGAAAGTGGGGAGGCCAAGTCTCAAAAAACGCCCCCGCGAGAAAACAAGTGTCTGCTTGGGCGCCCTGAAACGTAGAGTTGGAAGAATCGCCTGAATATAGACTATTTAGTGTCCAAGGAATTGGGGTAAGGACGGAAAGAGAGGTGCTTGATTGGTGCTGCCAAAATGTCAAAACTGCAAAAGACCAGGCTTCCTGGAGTGCTACTTTCACACTTAAAGTTATTTATTGTGGTTGTGTTATGAATGAAAATGAATTGTGAAAGGATATTTAAGCTGGAAATTTCACACTGAGGTTGGACTTAACGTGAGGGAGAATAGAGGAAAGAATAATTGGGACTATGTGGAGATAGTTGCTTGGATTTTGGTGAGACAGCATGCTGCAAGAAACAAATGATGTCAGGGTTCAGAACTGTTTCTAAGGCCAGCTTCGACATTCCCTTTTCTTATGTTTAAATTCTCATTAGCAAAGAGCCTCAAATTCTATCCAAAATGGGACGCAATGTGAAGGGCATATCAAGCAACAATGTCCCCCTAGATGTTACATCTAAACTGTACATCTAAGTAAGGCTTCCAGTATTTTATTGTACTTGGCTATGAGCTGGAGAACAAGTTAGAACACTTTTTAAAATATTAACCTGATTGAAAAGAATATTTTGCATAGACGTAATATTTTAAGGAAGGAATTATTTTTTATTTGAAGTTAAATTCAAGAGCATAGTAAAATTCCTAATGGAAGCATTCGAATTACAAGGTAACTAGGTGCATTGTCATTGATAGCTACCGGAAACCATAACTTTTGGAGAATTTGGAATGAAGAATGCTCTGAAGATGAAATAGTGCCTAGTTTTTGTCCAGGCATTTACACATAAGTCATAGACTACTAAAATAGCACACTGATTTTCCTGCCTTCATTCTTTCCTATCTCCTTTCTAGTGCATTGCTCCAGATTTACAATTCCCAGGACATCCCTCTCTTGGCTGAACCAAAGTCAGCAACTTCTAATGGTTTATTAATATCCCCAAGATCAAATCCAAAATCCAGACTAGCTTTCCAGAACCATCAAAATATTCTGCTGAGCCTTAAATATGTATTGCCAAATTTCAGGGGAGTTAGAACAGTGATGCTAATACCTCTATGGCTTGAAATTTCACTACTAGCAAATCTTTTCTTTGAAACTATAGGACTTCTCAGCCTTCCAAGGTCCTGTAGTAGGATCCCGCTAACAGTTTAATGGCTCTCCGAAATAGGCCAGAGTCTCGCTGCCTGTGTGGAAGATGAAAAAAAGTGAAAAAAGAAGCTACCTAGGAAGAGGCATTGAAAGGGCCGATCAAGTGCCACCAAATACACTGCCTTCACAGTTTTATCTAGGGTTCTCATGTAACCCACCCTGTCCCTCTGCTGCTCCCAGCTTCAATTCTATCATATGTAATCGCTGTTGCCTACTCTGTCTTTGCTTCTTAACTCATTCCTGTTCTTTCTATCCAGCACCTTCATGACTTTCCAAATCTAGCTAAGCCAAAACTTTTTGACTCCTCCATTCCACCACTTCTGGTCACATCTCTCCCACAGGGACCTGACATACAACAGCATGTCTACATCATTTATTTGAGGACTGAATTGTACAGTAAATAATATGACTGGCCCTGGAAGGTATGTTTGGCTTACTAGCCAGATTGTAAACTGTGAGAGATGACAGAACATTCTTCAGCATTCTTCTTGCACCCCTTACACTTTTAAATGCTGATCCCACAAGGGATAATGAGTCTTCTTGAGGTAGTTTCTGTTTTTTTATGTTCTTCAAAGAGACACTTAAATTGATTTTTTATTTGCTTTATATTATTTCTATAATGCTTATATTTAATTTTGCAGTTGTTTAAATACACTTTCAGATGACAACAATAAATAATTATCATGACAGGCAATAATGAACTGTAGTTTTAAAAAAGTCAAACAACCAGAGTCAAATAATAAGGGGGAAAAAATACAAGCAGGTAACAGAATATATACATTATGAGTCTCCAGTAGCTCAAATGTATGTTTTCTTCTACATGGCATTTTGTAATGGAATATGTTAATGGCATAGAATTATAGAGAAGGAAATCCTTGAAATAGCATGCTATTGTCTTGAAAAGTAAGGTTTTTTTCATTGTTTTGTCAACTTTTACAGAGTTTTTAAAAATGCCCAATGTATTTCATTTATTCTATAATGAATACTTCCCATGAGGAAAGTCTACATGTTTGCTTCTTCAAGGATTTTTTTCCAAACAAGTACTATATTATAGATCAACTGCAAATACATATTGCAAAGGGCTACGGAGTATTGTCTGAATCACTGATGATTGCAAGGTGGAAAAAGAAATAAATTTACATTAAATGTGGATAATTCCATCCAGCATGACATAGTGGAAACAATGTGGTCTTTGGTGTTAGACTGAAGTTTGAAATGTTTCCCTCTTTTTCTAGCTGTATGGTATAAGGCAAGACAGCTAATAACCCTGGTCCATGACTTTTCTCGTCTTTGAAATAGCAATCATGATAACTACCTTCCCAAATTGATGTGAATCTCACATGAAATAATGTAGGTGCTCAGTATAGCTATTAGAATTATTATGTTGCAGAAAGCAAAAATAAATCAATTTCATATGTGGGAATAATTCTCATACTAGTAAATGGCATCTAGCATTATGTTTGTGCAGGTGTATTTAAAAATTGGCATAAGTTCAGGAAAGGACAGAAAACATACTTTGGTTAAATCAGGCAGTTTTATATGAAAAAGCTTAAATCATAAGGGAAACATTGTTCTTGGTTTAATTACTCTAGATATTTAAAATTATAAAACAAGATTTACTATTGAGTAGGCTAAGCCATTTTGGTTCTAGTTATGGTATTGTTTCTTCAATATTTACATAATCAAAAATTTTATTTTGTGCATCAAAATCTTAATTATCTAGAATCTGATTAGAGAGTGGTAGAGGTGCAATTATTTCTTCAAATTCTTACCTTTGGTTAAGACAAAAGGGGGCTCAGAGGTATAAGGTAAGTAGAATTTCAGGTTAAATGAACAGAGTAGCATTTTATATTTTGATAGTATTGCCTGGATTAAAAAAAATTCTATGTAAAATAAGAATGGAAAACACTTCATATTATATCCACCCCCTTCCTCCACCCCAGCGCAGTCACAATGAATGTTAAAGACTTGTGAAGTCTTCAAAACTTGTTTTTTTTTTTTTTTTTTGAGACGGAGTTTCGCTCTTGTTACCCAGGCTGGAGTGCAATGGCGCGATCTCGGCTCACCGCAACCTCCGCCTCCTGGGTTCAGGCAATTCTCCTGCCTCAGCCTCCTGAGTAGCTGGGATTACAGGCACGCGCCACCATGCCCAGCTGAATTTTTGTATTTTCAGTAGAGACGGGGTTTCACCATGTTGACCAGGATGGTCTCGATCTCTTGACCTCGTGATCCACCCGCCTCGGCCTCCCAAAGTGCTGGGATTACAGGCGTGAGCCACCGCGCCCGGCCGTTTTTTTTTAAATTATTTTTTTAAATCCAATAGTTCTAAAATTCATATCAACAGGAAATCTTTTTGGGCCCCTCAGTGTATCCATTAACATTTCCAGGGATTTGCAACAGCATAAAAAAGAACAAAAGAAAAATAATAAATAAGAGTAAACACTTAAAAATTTTCAGAGACTTATTTACAAATCATGTAATTGAACTATGAGGAACGCTGGTTAGTCTGAATGAAATGGGGTCATTGATATATTCCTCTATTATTGAAGCCATTATTAATTATTAGAGTATTTCTGACTATAGTATTTCTGGTTATTGTATCTTATGTTAAGGCAATAAAATTGCATGTTTAAAGCCTATAAACCTTTCGATTGTTCTTAGAGTTCTCCCACATTAGCAAAAATCCAAGGATTTTTAGATTACTTTTCCTCATAAGGAAGCATTAATATGTAGAATAGTCCATTATTTTGATTTCTCTTATTTTCCCAAGTACATATAAGGAGGAGAAGCAGATGTTAATACCACTAGAATTTTGCCTTGCAAGTTATTTATACAATCTGGGAAGTTATCAGTTTACATACTTTCTGATTTTGTACATGTTAAAGGCTTGTCAGATTTATCACACATTCTCAGATCACCATTTATTCAGTTTGCCACATAATGCTAAGTTTATTCTTTTCTCAGTGAAACCTTGTGGCCAGTTTGTTTTCTTTTTAGTGGCTCAATTCTCTGGTGTTTCTGAGCAACAGGTACGAATGGCTCATCCATTCTTAATCAACAATGAAGTGAAGCAAGATTATGTAACAGAATAGACTATTTGGTCTGTTTCACAAATTCATAAAACAACTCAAAGGAGGTTTTGAAAACCTTTTAACTGAACATAGTTACACATGAATTACAAACATTTTGCTTTCTATCTGTGAAGCCTAATTCTCAAGTTTGAATCAATCCTTTTACATTTTCTTCTCAGCCCTGTCCTAAAATGTTGCTTTCAAAAGTTATCTGACGGTTTGAATCATAAAAGCTTTTAAAAAGATATATCTGTCCATATCAAATGCACAGTCTATACCCATGCCAGATGATATTAAGAATTTTTCTACGTTACTGAACAAGAGGATCTCATTAGTGAGTTTCCCAGTGTTAGCACTGTCCTATTATATAGTCAATTTCTCTTCAATATTTAAGATTATATTCTAGCTTTTTTGTTTATGTATATGATTACTTTCTCTTTGGAGCCATTTAGAATTTAAAAAGAAATTACAGCTCACTCTGCATATATTTGAAATTATATATTTTCATATAAATCTCTCTGTCTATATTTTATGCAGACCAGGAAAAGGAAGGCTCATGACTAGATGAACCATCCATCTATCTAATACTGACGTATTTTTGAGAGCTTTAAATGGTACGCACCTTATAACGGTTCTTTAGCATACACACACACACACGTCTTTGAAAAAAGAAATAAGTGTGGTATGTGCCTGAACCTGAATAAATATAGACTCTACCGGCCTCTCCCAGCACGTTTCCCTTCTCTAATCTCCCTTCTGCAGCTCCTTTATGCCCATCTCAGGACAAATACAATCTGCATTCAGAACAGGACCGTTTACAAGTTGAATGGAGTTATTTTGGGTGAGTCATTGAAAACACAGTACAAAACCTTTCCTCACTCACCAGAAATGCATTTTAAAAATAAAGCCAAAGCGAACAAGACTTGGCAAGTTTGAGGGTGGACAAAATGGGGAGAGAACAGGTCTTCTGCCAGACTCAGATAGGATTCTGGTAAACCAGTTTTGGCTATTTCTTTACATTGAACTCCACCAAATCCCATCACCAACTAAAAAATACTAGCTTAAGCAGGTAGGACTTCAAAACAAAGACTCTCCATTTAACACTGTGATGGTAAGCAAACATATAAGAGCTTAGCAACAGTTTATGCCCCCCTTTTTGTCTCTAATTCAGAAACTATAAAATATACATATTTAATAACCCCATTCTTTTTGTTAAAGTAATATTTGACTAATAGTGACTTCAGGCCATTAGAAAATGTTATATAAATGCAATATGCAATCCTTTCAAATTGCTTTTAAAAGAGGTCTCAGAATTAATCAAATAAAATACAAAAGGAGACAGAGCTATGGAGACAGAAAATAATAAGCTAGTTTTTAAGAAACTTTAAAAATTGAATTATTATAATTAATAAAAGTCTATACCATGGCTTGTTGAATTTTAGATATTTAACACACAGGTTATTACAGACTTATGTATCCATGTAGATTCTTACTTGTCTATGGAACATATGACTTATCCTGTATCCTGCATATAACTTTCTAGCAGAAATACAAGTGATTACTTTTCTACAACCTGCTACAGATCAGTTGAGGCTCACATCTCATGAATGGAAAGAAACCTAGAATCATTAAGAAAAAATCCTTAAACACATAATGGGAACATAGGACACTTGCTATAAAATTTGGGAGTCCTCAAATACTTTAACGTAGGTTGACCCAGAAGATTATTGTGAGTCAATTAACAGGTGCTATAGAGGGTCCTGCAGTTAGAAATGTTGCCTGTTTACAAATGATCCACCCTGAGGTTGTGGGAACAAGCCAGTTACTACTCATTTAATTATGCAAGTAATCTCCTTGAACTCCCTTGCAAATGATCAGTTTCCATAAGGCAGGCTGACGATTGTTGGTAAAGGGAATGAAAACTGTTTGTAAATTAATGTGACTATGGAAGTACAGGGTCATAATAAACAGACAGATATTTCCTGCTATAATTAACAGCAAAGCAAGTACTCTGGTTTCCTACATTTTGGGGACTTTTTTTTCCTTCCCTTTTCTTTTATGGTTAAGTAATTGTTTTTAAATTATAAAATAACTTATACAGCCTTCAAAAATTCTCTCACCAATCTAGGAATTATTTTATCTCATTTATTTTTATTTAATGCAATCTACATATGATCAAAAACTAAGGGGACTTAATATTTATTGATAGGAACTCAAAATAAGAGCTTCTCCATAATCTTGTTTCAAAACAAACTGAAAAGTGAAGCAAATTTTCATCAAAATTTCTTTGGGACAAGTAAATTTATTATAGCTATTAGGTAGCATATTTGGCTTGGATTACATTAGTATTAAAGAACTAAAGCTTTGTGTATTAATAGACTGTTATTAAATAAAAGAACCACAGGGTAAAGGTCAGCACACAGATTGTTTTTGCTTAATTGTTAAAGATCCCCTGAGCCCACGTCTTTCCAATTATTTTTAAACAAGCCAGCTCAAGTTGGCACCTTAAAATCCTTTAAATACTGTAATTACAATACTACTGATAATCAGTTTGGAGAAGTACTACTAGAAGAGCAATTATTTCAGTGGAGCCAAGTAAATAACAGTGTTAGAAATGGATGTTTTTGCCTGAGCACTTCCATCGTGTCAGACGTGGTATTTTGGGCTGGATTTACACTGTCTCATTTAATAAAAAAACTACATGTGTTTGTATTATTCTCACTTTATACATAAGAAAACTGAGCCTCTGAAACGTTAAAGCTACTAAGTGGCAGAGAAGAACCAGGACTTTACCCCTAAAGCCCATTGCTGCCACCTCCCATGTGCAACTGTCTCATAGTATTTCAAGCCCACTGTTAGAGAAGTATTAGCAGTCACTTAATCTCATCATACTGAAAGGATTCTTTACTTATAGCTGATGGGCAGAGTGTCAATGTGACCCACAAGTGAATGGAATCTTAGGAACGGGGTTGGCCTCCTACAACTCCATTTTATGGCCCCTTACAACTCCATTTTACAGAGAAGGAAAACTGAGCTTGAAACTTTAAGCAGCCTGCCTGAGGTCAGCCAACTAGTTAGTGAGAGAATTAGGAGCAAGAATCCACATCATCAGTTCAGTGTGCTTCCCACTCCACCACACAATACTTTCATCAGGAAGGTGTGGGCAGCAATTAGAGTCATATGCCACATAACAACGTCTTGTTCAATGATGGACTCGTATAATGGTGGTCCCTAAGATTATAATATGGAAGTTTAACTGTACCTTTTCAATGTTTACATATACAAATACTTGCCTCTAAGTTACTATTGCCTACAGTATCCAGTAGAGTAACATACTGTACACGTTTGTAGCCTCAGAGCAATACACTTTATCATCTAGGTTTGTATAAGAACCCCCTATGATTTTCACACAAAGGCAAAATCGCCTAAGGATACATCTGCAGAACGTATCCCAGTCACTAAATGATGCACAATTATATAAAAATGTCAACACCTTAACGTGAACATACTAGTGTATATCATAAACGTTTCTCTCATATATATATATATATATATATTTTTTACAGAAACCTGATAAGAACAAAGACATTGCAGATAAAATGAATACATTTTAAAGCATTAATCTAGAAATAAATGATATTATAAACCAAAATCATTTATACCAAGCACATACTCTCAGAATATGTTCAACAATCACTCAAAATGTTTTTTAGGAGACTTAGGATTATCTGTTGGTTTGTGATCAGGAAAGTTCTGGTTAAATGCAAGTAGGACATGTCTCTACTTTCTCCTTGACAAATTAAAAGAAATTAGGAACCTCGTATAAGCATTTTCACACGGGTCCAAATCTAGCTATGAACTGATGGGATGCCAACATGAACATAGTTCTGCTCACTGGATATATGTCATTTATATTTTTCATTTT